AGCGTATATAGTATTATACGCTAATACTCCTTTTAAGGGTGCAGTACGACTACACTTCGTTTCATACATACTTTTTATTCAAAATTCAAATTGGAGTGAAATAATGAAACCCTTGGAATAGATAAACCGGCTACTTTTAATGTTTATGGTCTTTGAGAGAAGCTTCTTTTCTTCTCCACCTAATATGTCAGCAAATTCCCAACCATGTGAATTATTTTTGAAATACCCTGATTATTTCTTTAACTCTCAGTTCTGGTGATGGGAACACTTCAGAGCTCCGCTAATGTACTTTCGCCAGACCATACTAGAAGCCCAATCCCTTCTGTGGGTCGACAGTGCATATTCTGCTCGAGTACTATGACTTCATTCGTCATGGGAGGATTTTAAGGGCGCTACAAATAGATCAAATGCAAACATAAAAGCATTTGTCTTCCTCTGCGTACTATTTTTTGCTACTCTATAGAGAAGTTTGTAAGCCTTAAATGTACTTGAGCTGCATAACTCTACTTTGCTCCATGGTTTTTCTCCTGAAATATCACTGACAAATAATTAATAAAGACCAAGAAGAAAATAACAATTCTACCGAATTATGTGGTTAGTTTCTTATCATCCTCTAAAAATAAACTACCTACTTGTTTTAGAAACTTCCACCTTCGCCCTGAATTTTTGAAGTAAAAATAGGCAAAATGGAATTCCGTGATTTACTTTTTTCCAAGCGATCGGCTATGGGTATATGCGCGGTCTCACTCCGTAAACCTTTTCATTTTTACAAGGTAAAATAAGTTATCCCCTTTTTGGGATTTACTGATTACTTACATATATTATCATTTCAATACTACTTACAATGCTACTTGTAAAATTTATTGGGAACTTTTTTAATGACCTCTGATCCGACACGATTGATGCAGCTTCATAAATCGTTCGTGATAAATAATTCTACCGACTCTTAGAGGAACTTTTATTTGAAAAAATTTGGGATTATAGTACCGTAAATACCGTAAATAAATATTTTTTATTACATCATTTATTATGAGTGACTTGCGGAGGTCCCTAATACTGCAAACGTTCTCCGGACGTATGTTATTAGTCATATTTTCAGTAATTTATTTTAGATTTGTCCTCTTATTCTTCTTCTTCATTTTGCTATTGTTTCGTGAGGTTTGAAAGTGTTTTTATTACACCCGTTTCGGTTTTATAATGTTAAATAGACAGATATGCTCTTTCGCCACCACTTCAAGTAAATGTGTGCCAGACAGAGCTCATAAACATCATCTCGAGAACTACAAAGGAGTCGCATTAATTAATCTACCAGGGAATTTTTTGCACCTTTTTACCTTGACGATAGGTAATTAAATCTTTTGGGAGGGCAGTAATTTCCACATGCTCGTTAACTTTATGGTCTACAAACAAGTTGGGCACTCAATTTGGGCGACCAAGTAGATGCTGAGGAGCTACAGCATCCCATATTGGCATAATTTTATGTGACAAAATCTTAGCTTTATCTGCGTGGTCTTAAACCACAGCCGTAAAATTTATGTATTCTTAGCAATAGGCATAAATCGTAAAATAATCTTATGGATGTTTCATTATGGTTGATTAGAAACTGAAAGTAGGTGATACCCTTAAGCTTAAATAAATTTTAGACAAGAGGTTGATTCGCATGTGATGACTGTGGCAAGTTATTAGAAATGGGATATTTTAAAACTAAGCGATTAATGAGGTCCTCATTCCCACTTGTAACCGCAGCAGTTTATGCAATATTCCAAAATGGGGGCCTTTTTCGATAAAAAACACCACTGAGAGGGAAGCATATAACCCTGGGATTGCAAATAGCAACTCTGTTTTCTGTACACACAGGAATACACAGGTGGAGTTAAGTGGGCACACTAGGGAGGGAAGGGAGGAGGGCTTGTGCTGAGGCGAGAATGAAAGACGTAAGAAGAAACGGGACTGGCTTTAGGAATGTTGCGCCACTTGTGGGGTTCGACTGATCTGATGAGAAATTCCTCTCCCTCCTTTGATAAAAGCCTTCAAAAGGGAGCAGAAATAAAGTGAATATAAATAGACTATGGTTATATGGGCATTAATAAATAGGGTTGGCTACCTTCATCTTTGAGGAACTCTTGATCGGTGGACTTTAAATCTCCCAGCTTATTTTCAGCTAAAAGTAAAAGTACATGATATTTAATACTTTACTTTTCGATTTTAACTGCAGTGAAAAAATTTAATCACTAAGGGGTTTTGTAATGTTTTATTGTTTGTTTAACACCCCCTGTTGAGTACGCGGGTACTGAAGGCTCCGACATTGTACTTCTTCTGCCAGTGTAGCCTCTTGACTATGTCAGTGGCTTCCAACCCTTTCGAAAATCGGCAATTTACATTCTGCTCTAGTAGTATACCTTCTCGTGTCTATAGGGAAGTCTCCGGGGAGGAAAAAGTGGTGTCAGAAGTGGATTCGTTTCTCCTCTCGTTCTTTTTTGGTTCCTCCTGGCCAGTCTTGCGTGTCAAATTCTATAATTTTCCTCAAAGGGCTTCTGAACGTCACCATCTTCACGGTAGTAGCAGCTACAATCTTTATTACTCTTTGAGGTTTTTGGCTTGTTTACCTCATTAGTATCCTTAAAAACCGGACTATCAGCTTTGAAATCTTCCTTAGACTTATTTATCTTGCTCTTTATCCCTCGCCGACTTCTTAATCTCTTTTTGTTTTGATTCTTTTTTTCATAGGCGTTATTAACCTTGTTGAAGCTTAGTAGAGAGGCCAAATCACCGGCACCACTGAAGTTAGGACTGTTTTGCCTCGGAGGTGCAGTATTCACATCACGACTTAGATAAACGCTGCTAACTAGGAAAATGCTTAATTCGCATGGAGATGGGTGGGATAGCAAAAATTCCGACATACAAAGTTTACAAAAGATTCCCCTAAAATCTAATTACACAAAATTGTCTTAAGTCTATCCTTGAAAAGTATAGAATGTAAATTTAGTTTTTTTAGACTGACAGTAAATTTTACAAATTTTCTTCTTGAAAGACCCCAGTAAAGTGGCTGAAATCGTGTTGTGGCAAAAGTGTTATTTTCCGTTTACTAAAAAAAGGGCTATCAATGGTTTGCTAGGCCGCTAGCCTGGCCTAAATAGTTCAGTATCCAGTAAAAAGCGCTTTTTATTATTTGAAGTCATTTATCAACGGAGATAGGCTGTAAAAATTATATATATAAGGAGGGCAAAGTCCTCTCCCAAGCCATAAATTTTGGTCGAAGTTTGTTTTGTAAATGATCCGGTTGCTGGAATTTCGGGATTCACTATTAAACAGGCAAGCATCTCAGGTAATCGGTTAGTCATCTTAGTAACAAATCAAAAATTTTGCTTGGATGACGTTTTTTTAGTTTACAATATAGAAAATAACTGCGATTTCTCATTCAGTACTATAAAATCTTAAGAAAATTCTCACTGAAGTGAGCAACTTCATGCCGTGGTTAACAATCCTCTCCGCACTAATGTAGTCTCCAGGGTAAAAATTATAAGAAAATCAACGATATGGCGTGCGCTTTATGAATAAATCTGCTTTTAAAATAATCATATCATTAACTTTAAAAAGACTCCTTACTATCTTCTACTTGTAAACAGTGAATACTTGTACCGTTTTTAGTGTAGCTCCTTAAAATAATTCTTGTTAAATGTGTGTGTGTGTCAGCACGCAGTCCAAAAGTGTGTAGAAGGTATATTTTCACACCTCTGGTGACACTACTCGTTTGTTTACTAATTAAGCCTAAAAAGATGCCATTAAGCTAAGTGACATGTCAGATTTCGCTGGCAGTATAATGCGCTACAACAGAGTAAAGTAGACGAATGCTGAGTGAGAATCGCTTAAAATGTGAAAACACTCCATATTTCGGGCTGTCATAAATCAAAAGGAAAACTTACAAGTGACATTTAGGAGAAAAATTTTTTCAAGTAGGCTGTCTGCGTTAATTTGACAGGCATAGAATCCGGCATCAGATTCTTGGATATTGTCAATCACCAAGGTCCAGTCCTCGTAAAACTTTCTTGGTAGATAGTAACGGTGCTGTCTTGTCTCCAGGCCGAGTGACAGCTCTTGGTATTCCCCTGCTTTCCACCAAGAAATCTGTAATTTGCAAATTTAAAAACAAGCCTTTTTTACTTCATAATGTAAATCTGCTTCTACAACAAGCCTTATGCTCAAGAGATTTCTGGTTGCGCTGTGACAGAATGATATTTGCCATTTGTGGGAATAAGGTTGCGGGCCTGTCTAGTTCCACACAATGCATTGATTAAGTTGGAGATATAAAATTACACAATCTAAGCCAATTCTAGATTTGTGCTTCTTATAGCATCTTGGACACAACTCTGGCCCCATATTCGAGGTAGTAGGTAGTAACCCCACCCTGAAAAACATTACCTCAGCTCCGCTACAGAATAAAGAGAAGGCTATCAATACAACCCCGACTTACAATATAGGAATAGCAGGTTTGAGAGCTAGAGTGTCTCAAAGAACTACCCACGAGAATGGCGTGACTTCTCATGTTCCATAAGATAAAGATGTATAGCCAGGCAGTAATGAGATAACAACAATACGAAAAGAAAAAATAGGCACAAATAACAATTGGGTAAATCATCGCTTTGTTTTGCGTTTTATTAGGCGCGTCTCCTGTTCTTGAGCACATGTTTTTACCAGCAGCTACTGCTCTTCAGTAAAATAGAACCAATGACTTTCCGCAAAGGCAGTTGGGGGAAGTTGTAAGTCTCTTCGCAATGAGAAAAAAGGAAACTAATGTAAGGTCTTGAATCTAACACCGTTATTGACTTTTCTATGAGCAAAGTAGACGTCTTTTACTGTTCACCATATTAACTCACGGATAAAAATGCCATCTTCTTGGGAACCGAATACTTATCATCTCCAACACCTGTTATCAGAAGGGCTATGAACTATACAGAACCAGCTAAAAAATATATCTCAGCAAAGGTAATCAAGACACCCTAATTAGCAAGCTCTAACACCATCCAAGGAGGGGCTATTTTTAAGTGCAATTTAAAACCAACAATTTGGGTTACAATAGATATGTTTCACCTTTAAATCTAGTGAGATCTTGTTAGAAATAGGCATATTCGCAAAACCTTTTGAAATTACTCCTCCTGAATAAAAAAGGGAATTTTAAGGCGCATAATATCCAAGCCTGTTAATTTTAGCCATTTTACGGCAGGCTAGCTCAAACTGGAAGTGTTTATTTCAGCTAAAAGCTTTTTCAGATTCATCATCTACCGCAATGTCCTCTACTGCCCTAAAGTGCTGTGATTAGTTTCGAATACTCAACAGACAGCCAGCGTTTGGGTTAACGCATACTGACTTGGTGGCGATGGAAGATTTTGCCTATTTGAACAAAAATGTTTTTCCTTAATCTACTTAAAAGTGAGTTTAAGTAGTAGGGAAGGGTTACTGCCATCGTCGGTCAAAATAGCGTGAATATCAATGCCAACTTTTGAAAAAATTGCTGTTCATGCCTAAATAAAAGCTCTTTTATGCATAAATGCGCAAAACGGAGACTTTTTGGATATCCTATGATGATGCTGCCATTTTATTGCCAATTCCGTATAGGGGTTTTGGGTGGATGTTCTTATCTTCTAATCAAATCTAAAAATAATGTATGCAAATAAAAATCATTTTTTAAATTTTTTTGATAGTTTGCTCTTTGCTAAAGTCAAAATAACGGAAAAACAAATAATAAATTCTTTTTTTTTCCTATTTTAGCTTGTTTTCTTTCTAACTGCAAATCTGGAAAGTACGGTTCAGGTTTTGTAATGGAAACCAGTTTTGTTGCACTGTTTTCATCCCTCCTTTTTTGAAAAAATTTTAATGAAGTTTTCGGATACGCATCACTCTCAAATGCTACTAAATGCCGAATCCCCTTGCCGATCTGGTCTCATTACAGCCAATGTGACAAATTGGGATGTCCTATCAAAATTCACAAAATTAGGAGTAAAGTGAATTATGGAAAGAGCCTGTTGGCACAGAGCCCTTGGCGGGGCAATAAAATATGCAGACCATGCACGGACAGGCAGGATGCACAAAGCTAGATAATGCATCTGCCTAGGCATTCTAACACTGCATTTGGTTTACCAAAATAAATTTATTTCAGTAGTTATTTCCTCTTTTTTGGCCGCGTGTACCTCTCGTGTCCCCTTTATTTGGTAAAGATAGGATGTGAATGTTTGATCTGCTCGCCAAACGAACCTTTGTGTTAATAGTGGAAATTAAGGGGACATTTTAAAGTTATTTTACTCCTATTTGGCCTTAAAAGTAGTTTTTAGAAGTTAGAGGGGGAGCAAATATCTTTTTTATAAAATACATTGGCCTTTCTAAAAAAGCAAATACAGCCTGATAATTTCAGCGCTGCTTCTATTCCATTCCGTGCGATTGGATGGTTTTTTCATCATGGCAAACCTCATGAAAGAAGGAGAGAAGATATTATTTCGGTATTTGTCTATAAAAAAATGGCCTTCAAAGGTGTCTCCGTAACATTATTTTTGTGTTTTAAGTATTTTTCTTCCTTGTGCACATCAGCTGCCTCTCTCTCTGATCAGACCGATCAGGTGGCGGAGATTAAAGTTTTTTCAAAATAAACGACTTGTTAATGCAGTTGTAAATAATTTCTATCTACTATCTGATTCATTAATGAATTCGTAGCAAGCAGTTTTGGAAGAGGAGGTTATACCTTTCCTTTGTCTTTTTCGGGAGCATTGTTAAAACAAGCTTGATCAAAGCTAGCTTATTTGGCTGGGAAGGTTAAACCAAAAGGAGTGTTTCTTCCAAATCTTCAAAATCTGCCATTTCTTCCCTTCTGGTTTACTCTGCAATTTTTCATCATTAATATTTAATACTTGAAGCCGTGCTTTACGAACTCGTCATCTAGAGTAAAACAATGGAAAAGGAACCTGCTCGAAAATGTAAGTCTAAAAGTTGGCGCTGCCGGTCAGTGCTTTAGGCATAATAGTGTAGATGGTGGAAATGCAGCGTGCAACAGCGGTGAGAGTACAGGAAGATCACTTTAGCATGAATTTTTGACCTGTACATGTGCTACTAATATCTACTTTTTGGGCTCAAAAGTAGTATCTATTGGGGTCAAAACTATTAAACTGTTGGTAATAGGATGTTGTTTGAATTTGTATTTGTACTTGAAAGTCCTAAGTCAGTATAAACGGACTCGTCTAGATTGTGTAGCTACGAGTGCCGATTTAGATTGGTGGAGAAGTTGATAACAACCTTCACAGTAATAACAGTATTTTGGGTCTTAAAATAAAGACTTTTGCCCATTGTGAAAAGGCCTCCTTATGATGACATTTCCTAATCAAAACGACCAAATTTTTAAAACAAAACCTATTAGTGAATGGACTCGTGGTTCAGCACAGCTCCAACCGATTTGGTGGTATTGAGGAGTCCACTCGCAAATGTAATCTCTATCTGATATGAAAGGAATATGTGGCAAGCAGACTGTCTTAAAAAATTTACATTGTTTAAAAAATCAAGAAAAAGTAGGCCAGAAAGCAGTTGAAGTGATGTCTTTTTGATTACTGTCGAAGTAAAGTCTGGAGTCACCTTAAAGGGGATGCGTAGTATTGAGGCGATTTCGAAGAAAACTCTCACAATCTGTCGTTTTGACCTAAAATATGGGAGTTAATAGACTGGATATTTGTCATAACATTGATCAAAGCAAAGCTATTTTGATTTATGCACCCAAGTCAAAGTTCTAAGTTTACACAAAGGCGTAAACCAAGACGATGTGCCGCATTCGAGCACAAAACTTAAACCCATTTTAGGTCTGAAAATGATAGAGGAATCGTTAGAGATTGTACCACAGACTTGGCTGCTAATTATATCATTATTTTGTGTTTTATATACAAATTGTAGCCCATTGTGAATTATGTATCTGGGGGAGAACACGGTCGAGATAGTATTTACAACAACACTGACGAAGACGGCAAAATACTAGCACCGCAGCCGATTAAGACTGCTGCTTGGAAGTCAGAGACTCACAAACTTATTGTTATTACATTATATAATAACTTGGAAGCCTTACAAATGACTACTCAGTCGGAGTGGAAGGATAGTTGGAGCTTGGTAGAGACCTGATCACAACGACATAATTTTAGCCTGTATTTATAATTTAAATATTAACAGGATGATCGACGAATGACACTGACCACAACATTTGTCAAGTCGATGCCATAGACGAGACAAGGAAACTCTGCTTTAGCTCCCACTTTTGCAGTGACCCTCGTATTCACATCGGCGAAGAAGAACTGCCTTCCACCACTCATCGTCGTCGGTTTGATGGTCTGTGTGGCGCCACGAAATCGATGGAAGTGCTGCGAGGCGTTCAACGTTGTGGCGAGCGCACAGAATGCCCGGGGAAGAGTGAGAAGGAGGAGGGGCAGCCAGCCTAGCATCAACATGCGAGGAAGCATGGTGTCGACTCCTGTCGACGCATTTGTGTACCAACTGTTCTCATGTGCTAATTACTAAAAATAAAAAAGAGCTGTCATTTTTTTGTGTCTGTTAAGGGTAGTCTAGATGCTAGACAATTAGGAAACAATATTTAAACAAGTGAAAGTAAAGAGAAACATATTTGTACATATTTCTTAAAATATTCAAAGAAAAGGAATTCTGGCGAGTAAGAACGATGCTTTACCACCTGAATCAACAAAGTCGCAAACTGTTTGAGTGAAGGTACGGAAATTTGGCATTTCAATATTTTGTAAGTTTTTTTAACAATTAAAACTTTTTTAATTGATTTGAAAAATAATGACGGAATAAATCGTGATTGCTTGCGTTCGTTGGGTCCAGTTGATGGAATTAAGAACCAATTATTTTGAAGACAAAAGGCTGATGAATGGGAAGCTTCCAACCGAGGTTTTTTAAACCTACCTCAGTTTAGATCTCAAAACTAGATGTAAGAAGACTTACTTGCCAAATGCGCCGTCTTTTTTCCACTCACAACAGTAGCAACCTTAATCTGGGGAGGTGTGCAACAAGTGTTAGCAGTGTTTATTTAATCATGTCTACCTGCGGAAAGGGAGATAAGAAACGAAGAACAATGTAATTTTCTCATGAAAGCTAGAAATCACGATGCCGAAATTGAATAAACTAACTGTCTGGCTTCTGATCCTTGTACCTTGCTGTCAATTTAAAGAGCAACCAAAATAGCTCTAAGGACCTAACAAACCTCAGCGTATTCAAGAGCTCCACTTTCTCTTTATTTTGTTCAGTAAAATGCAACATTTATTGCTTTTCCTATACGTGCTTTTTGCTAGGGAAGAGAAGGGAAGAGATATTCGTGGAGGTAGGATTGCGTGCTCAAATTAGGTCTACCTTGAAATACCTCAGGAAAAAATGACGAGGTATGGCACCCTCAACTTTGATTGACACCACATGACTAGAACATTACGGGTGGGCTTGCAAAACAGACTTTATCTTTCCTGCTTGCATTAGAATTATAAAAAATTGCTTGAAACCTAGAGTGGTTTTCCTTGCTTTTAATTTGGTTTATAAACTGAATTGGCATTTTTCCTCCCTTATAAGTTATTTTACTTTTTCATGGCTACAGTAGACCAAAAACATTTAATGACTGACTGAACAAAGGTAGCTTAAAGGATGATATTTGGCTTAAAATTGTGCAATGGTATGAATTGGTAGAGGAATTTTCTAAGAAAACATTCAATATATTTGCTTTTTACCTATTAATAGATCAACGGAAGTGAAAGAAACATACATAAGAATGTGTCCAAATTATTGTCATCAATAAATAGAAAATAGTGATATTTGACAACTATATAAATTACTACTTTCCTAACATTAATTACCGAGAGACATGAGAACGATCCTGCATAGTGCATGACTAAGTAAACACCCACCGAGAAGGTTATTTGCGAGGCAAGTAGATTCCGTAATTCGTTCTCTTTTGAAATGGAAGGATCTTAAGGCGACATTGCACGGATCATATGGAGGTAATATTTGTTTCAAGCCTCGACTTGTTCTCCCGCCTTTTTGATTGGTCAACTCGAACAGCCAGTTGTACGACCACCGCGGCCGATCCTATGACTGCGCTTCAAGCGATCTCTGTCTTTACAAGTAATGTCACATCAGAAATGTCCACTTCTTTAGAGGTATACCAAATTTAGCGCGAATGTTAATTTTCTGACCACTGCAATGTGATACAAAGCCGTGAATGATGTGACTGGTTGATTTAAACAAAGAATGTTGCTTGTTTGAACTATCTGGCTAAGTTTTAAGATGAGTGGCCTTAATTCCACACAAGAATGCAGTAGTTACATGGCTCGTACTTTTATCTAAATAGTATTTTTACAGGTGCAAAGCTCAAATTTTATTCAGGATAACTCCTACCTAAGTGGCTATTTACAAACCCCTTTGGGATGCATTCAATTAGTGACTGCATGGATAGGAGGTAATCAAAAATTGCAGGAAAAATGCATGCTTTTGAAAAAACTACTTTATTAAAGTCGAAGGTTTATCTGCGTGGAATCTTCACCCTCCGTAGGTTCAGTCACTACTTTAGTTTTCTGCCATTTCCCTCTTGTCAGTTCTGTCAATAGCGCATTTGCGTTTCCGTAATCTTGTAGTGCAGTTCTATTTAGGTGCTACTTTCGCAATGTCTCTTTTAAGCATGGCTCTAGCGCCACTTATTCTTGAGCCTTTAAGCACAAAATCTTGGTAAATGACTAGTTTGTGGCAAAAAATGCTGCACATGCAAAAGGTTCTGGGTTATTTAGGAATTTTGCTGCACTGCCGTTGGTAACTGCAATCGGTATGTAGACACATGATAGTTGAACTTCTGCAACAAATTCTGCCAAACACGCTTTAAATGTTTCATAGTTGTCAATTTCGCTAATCTTTCCATGCTATCATACAACCTTTTCCTTTAATTGTATGTCTAGGCACGTTTGATATGACGTACCACAAACTGTGAGTCAAAGGCTATGAAAAGAAGGGCTTAATTATGGTTAAGCCACTTGAAGGTATGAGCTGCTCATTTGGCTAATTCAGATTAAGTACCTATTTACTTTGCTCTTTCAAGGCTTGCACTGACTCACTGTAAAAGGGAGCAAAATGGCAGAAAGTTGCGTGTGACTTGAGTTACTCAAGGCTCAAATCAGAGGAGGCGACTACTCCGCTGTATGTTGGAATTATAGCATGCCGGATTGTTGTTGTTATCCTTCCCAAAAATCACCAGAGAGAGACTGAAGGCATTTAGTCTATGCTACAGCAAAATTGTCTTCGATTTTGAGAAAATGCAAACCGGATATTTTGTTTTGTTGAAGGGGAGGAGGCCTAAATATTTGACTTATATATTTTTAAATAGCATCTTGGAAAATTCTACCAGCATTGACTTTTGTTTGAATTGCATTTTAACCGTAAACTGTAAGCTGTCTGTTGTAAATAATTCATATTAATCGTGGATTTTTCTTGTTATAACCTGGCAGTAAACTTTCACTCAATCCATTTTTATGAGTCGAGTAATACGAATGAATAGGGATAGAGTAAATCATTTTTACTTTACAAATCCGTATGAAAGAAAAGTCACAGAGGACCGAAAGTGGCAATTTATCAGACAGTTGGCAGGCCAAAACCATGTTTCAGAAGGCGAAGGAAAATGTCGTTGCAGTGACAAATCTGTTTACCTCCGCACCTATTCATCATCGAGAGTTGAGTCTCACTACACCGGCTAGCATCCGCCCCCAACACCTGTTGTGGGTGCCTGTCTAGACGGCTTCATGACTTCGGGAGACATCATTTGGGCAAAATAAGGCGCTTTATAACATCAAAATATTTTAACCTGACTTATTTTGCCATAAATCAACCAAGAGTAGGAACATTTATCAATATTCTTAAATAATTAATTTTTCTAAGAAATTTTTTTTAAATTCCTGGTGAGATATCCTAGCGTTTAGTCATACCAATTATTCGTAGAGGTAAAGGAACAAACACTTTGCTATTTCTTCTGGCGCCATATGCCCAAGTGCAAACAAAAGGGAGAAAAAAACTTGAACGTTGAAGCAAGCAAAAGAAGCCTTTGCTTGGTAGGAAACTGAGTACTCAAAAAATGTTTTGAAGTAGTGTCAAAGACAAGGACTTATCACTTTCAATGTTAAATAAAAATTATCTTAGTGTTTTTTTGCAAAATATATTTTATTTTTTGATGGTATTACTAAAAAGAATTAGAGATGGAAGCTAGCAAAGTCGCCTTAACATAAATTTGGTTCGAATGGCCTAAAAAATAAAAAAAGGCATGCTTTTATTTTAAAACAAGGTTGTATCTTCTCAAAACAAAATCTAAAAAATCTTGGCAAGTTTATTGGCCTCAAAAGATGCCTAAAGGCGTTTAATGGACCAGAAAATCAAACTTTGTCTTTGTGGAATGGGAGGTTTGGGGTCCTTTTGAAACTCTAAACCCATATTTGGTTCACTGTCTTTCAGACGAGAGATGGACAAAATATGCAAACCTTGTGACAGACCGAACGTCATCGGCCCTCATGGAGGAGGATTTTGTATCCTCAAAACAAATTCAAATTGTGATTTCTGAGCCCCCTTATTCATCGCTCCCCATTAAAGCATGTCCATGGCCAACTGGTCTGCTTGTACAAAGGCTGCTAAAACTGGGGTGGAAAGGGAAACTACCGAGCCTATTACAACTCGATGGAAAAACCACTACTTATTTTCATTTTCAATATATAGTAGCATACTATCTCATGACCATTTCATAAAAATCTTGATATAAATTTCTCGAAAAAGAATATGAAAGGCCTGGCAAGTCTGTTGGCTTATAAAGGATGTCCATTCAAGTAGTGGTGAGTAAGTTAGAAGGTACGGGCTATCTGGACTCCTGTGATTTACCCAGAAGGCAGCGAATCTTATGCTTTGAAAATATTGCTAAGTACGACAGAAGTTAAATCTAGGATTCGGATTCCCCTCATGCACTTAATCTCATCATTCTCTGACTGCTTTCACTCCAGCGACTTAGAACTTCTCTAGGGAGGAAAGAAGCTGTAATACTAGGATAGAAAATTTAATGCCGACTTACAGAAGGGCTGGCGACTACTGGCACAGTCTGAAGGCGGAGCCTTAAGTGACCAGTTGCCAAAACCGAGAGTCAAATTGCTAAAGCATTACAGTCGCAGTAAAGTAAAATCTTGCAAGTAGCTATCCTTGAACAAATAATTTAAACTCATTTCTTCAATTTCCGGTTTTATTTTATGCTCAAAATTTTCATTTAACTTCTCGTTTGATTGGAATTCAGTTAGATCTTTAGCTAAGATTATGAGACTTGAATGAATCAGAAATTCCTTACAAAGAAGCAAAGTGGTATTAGACACAATGCAATAAATTTAAATCTTATCATCTGACCGGTGAATTCTCTTGAAATATTTCTTCTATATCCACCGATGCCTTTAGAAATGCCAAGTGCCTACGGTGTGCGTTTGCGTCGAAAATTTGTGGAGCAGTGCAAATGTCGCCTCTCAATGACGTCCACGGTGTTTGTTCCAGCCGTTCACCCCTAAAACCGCGAGTGAACCAAAGTTCTCACTCCAACTAAATTAAAACTTTGATTTGTGGAAAAAATTTCTCTAATTTAGATAACAGAAGATTAGACCTTAATCCTGGACCTCAACGGTATTTGCGAAGTTTCGTTATTTGCATCCAGAAGGCCATTCGGCCAAACCTATTTGCGAATTAATCCTAGAGATAACAAAACCCGACTCAAATCTTATTTAAAACTTGTGTATATTTAGTACAAAGCCGCACATCTGCCTCAAAATTTTTTATTAAGCTAAACAAGTTGTTTGTTTATTTTTTTGAATAAGTACTAATTAAATCGCGAGGAGAAGCCTTCCTCCTGTCTGAAATAAGTCAGTGTTTCAATCGGGCTAGAAATAACCCAGTTTCTAGTGGAAGAGAAAATTCTGAGTCTTTGAAATTTTGCTATTCTAGAGGTTTTTCCTGTCATCTGCAATTGCTTTTTGGGCAGAGGGATAACCGGATATTTTGGGCTTCGCTTCTCTGTTGGTTTGATTAGCGACTTAATATAACTTCGCTTTTTTCAGCGTCAGCTCGGTGGTATTCATGGTGGCGTGTTGGCCGCTCGCGCCAGTGTCCAGTATCGGTGAAATGCCAGCCGGAAACACTTCAAGAGGTGGCCGGTACACTCGTACCCGAACTCCACTACCCACCAGCCTTGTGCGATAGGGCTAAAATGAAACCACGGATGAGGGCCATAAGGAGTGTGGTAAAGGAGTGGACTCGAAGAGACTGCTATTTGCTACAAAATTACTGCAGATATTAAAAATTCTTCGCAAACCCTCCTACTCTAAGACCTAGTTATTGGTTTCAGCCTTCCACCACAAATGTATTTGGGAGTGGAACAAACCACCTTCTTCTGAAATATGTTATCTTTAGGAATATCCTTAGGATAAGCACATTTTTTCTCATTTTTGGTCTGGTTCCTGCAAAACTTATAGCTGTGAATATTTGAAGGTTATGAAACACGAATGTCGACCTTTAGAAAGGTAGACCACTTTGTTTGCATTATACTTCTCTAACTACAAAACTCTTATTTTCTTGTTGAACCCATTTCTTTTGAGCTTTGGTCTCCAAGGCTATCTACTATACATAGTATAACTTCTTATTGCTTGGTGTTATTAACAATACACGAAGAAGGTTCATAACACTACGTCCGGTTATTGCTTATGAAAAATATCTTGGTGGAGAAAAAATATATTTACTTATCAAGAACAACCTTCTTTGTTTTTCGAGTCTTCCTACTGACAGGAAAAATCATTCTCGAAAGGCTGTCCTTTTGGACCATTTTCCCTGTGGAGATAAGGAAAGGGAAATGATTACCTTCTTCTACCCAGGGATTATCCAACACGCATATTGTGGACTTCTTTTCTGTTGTTTTAAAACACCTGAAAACAAGGTGCATACTGAATTAGGGCAAAGAGAGAGTATCCTTATAATGTATCAAAATGAGCTGTATTTATAGTGACCTGAGACTTCTCCAAGGATAAAATAAGTCATCATACCATGGCAGAATATGTAGCACCGACGTAAAGAAGGGCATGGGGCCTGATAGCATGGCTCAGGGGTCATGGCTGAGGCGCAAAGGTCGAACTTTTAGTACTCGTAAAACCAGGTAAACAAGTGATTAAAGCATTGCGCAGCCCCGTTATGCTTTTGAGTGTGGTCACTGACACTCCCCCTTTAGTCAGCCATCATAATGAAGTTGGTGCTGAAATGGGAACTCCTACTAACCCTTTACACCAGCCATCGAATATGCATCTGATTTTGAGGGTGTCTGATGATAAGGTTACTGACCCCTCTCAAGTCATTCCATTGCCTCTGAGTTTTGTCCTCTTTGGGAATCGTATCGGGGGAAGGAAAGTGTACAGGCTATTCCGTACTTTCATTGCTAATCGGAAGAACACCAACCTTATAGCAGTTATTTAATAAGGGACGGAATAGGGGGTATCGTGTCTATTCTTCCTTGCCACTCTACTCTCACTTCAGTGCTGCCCAGTCATACCTACATATCTGGATTCTATGCAGCTAGTAGAGAGGCGGAGGAGGCATTAAGTGTTTACTTAATTGGCATCTTCATAAAGGTACCGTAGACAGCTCCATAACCAACTTTTCCAGGTGGTTCACTTTAGCTGTTAATAGCACTCCTGCAGAACACGGGATTCAGGCAGTTGCTGAAGTGAGACGTCATTCTCAACCCTTCTGTAAGGGGTCATCGCAATTTTTTCCATCGCGTTATAGCTTAGCATTTGGGAATAAAAAATAGGGCAACTATTCTTCAGGATCGAGTTTGCTTTCCGCTCTCACGAATGTGGCGCGTAGCGGCTTGATTAAAGTTGAAAGAAGATTCAATACTACTGTAGATTACACGTTGCCGACGTACAGAGGCCCTGAGGACTACTGATAGGGCCCAAAGACCACACGGCTGGGCGGAAACCCGCGAAACCAAAACGAAGTGTTAAGCAAATGATTAAAGTTTTCCAATTATGCCACCGACTTCTTTTAAACACTTCTCCATTTAACATCCTTAAAAATGTGCAAAAATTTCCGACAACATTACGCTGTAATGGGTCTGAATTTAAACTAACCTCAACTACAAAAACTCCGACTTTAAAGCGTGGCTTTTAATAATGGTTTTAAAGTTAACCACTCCCCATACATTGTTTATTACGCCTAAATTGGAAGGAGAATGAGTCCCCCAAGATGCGTGACCATGATTTCTCTACCTTTGCAGAATAATAACTTCATGATGCTAATTATCTAAAAGCTTAAATGTCATCTTCTCCCCATTAGCTGGTGGATAAAAACTTCATAAACAATTTAAATGTCAAACTTGGTATATCTCTAAGGCATTTGATTGCCTTAGTTGTTGCCTAGGGTGAAAATTACGGGCATTTTTTGAATAATTCCCATTATTTTGTTTTATCAGCCATGAAATTTAGTAATGCTATTTTAATAAAAAGGGGTTTTTATAGAACTTAGCAACGCTGTCAACTATAAGCAGAAATTATTTTGGCCTGAAGGTTTAAATGGCTGGTTTGTATCTAAACCCGCAACCAATCAGAAAATAGCTTATACATTAGAAAAAGCGAACTAACTTAATTATCCAATAACAAAAGGATCCTTTAAACATCCTTTCAAAGTTGACGCAGCGAGGCGAAACTTCCCTGAAGACACAAGATAACATAATAGAAGGGCAGAATATGCATTGTCTGCGTGCCGATGGGCTAAGGGCCTACCGACATGGCCCAGAGGCCACAGTTAGGTGCCTTGCAATTGTAAATGACATGCATACCTTTTGAGGTCAGGATCAGCTTACAGTAAATATTGCAGGCCAAATTCATGCTTTTATTAGTGCCATATTACCTTCAGAAAAGACTCTAGCTCCACGAAGATAATATGTACCACTTACTGTAGTATTTTGACGAGCTGTTGCACTCCTCATTTTTGGTTCCCCAGATCTTAAATTTAGGCCCTTTTGTCTTTGGGCCACATCACTAATCGTTCAGCCTTTCCCTGCGTCAGTAACTCATATTTCGTCTCAGTAGTATGTCTTCTTTCGTCCTCAAGAAACACTCGGGACGATACAATGTCTCACTGGATCAGCTGCGGGTATGTAAATGGTCTAATGAGTCGTGTCAGTTCCAGTCACTTCTCTGCATCAATGACATCCTTTTACACCCTCTTCTGTAAATGGAAACATGGAAATTTTTAAGGTGAGGCGGTAAGTGCTTACTTATTTAACAAACCTAAACAAGTCTAATTCTTTACATACCGTACTTTCGACTGAATATCAGTGGGTAAAAGGAAAATTTAGGGCTGGTTGCTACCACAAACAATAAATCGCCTTTTGTTCCTTCTACTATTCTTTTGTGTGCTTTTATAGCCAAACAAGTGATTTTGTTATTGTTTAACCGCATTTCTACGAAATCATAAGGTAAGTAAAATATACTGGGGCATTTTTGTTTTGACAGGAACTAACAAGTTAATAATGTGGCACGTTGACTTATTTTGACCAATCAAAACACTGCATAAGGGGTATTTCAGAGGCACTTATTTTTATCCTCTCTAAAATTTTGAAGTTTACAAAGAATCCGAAAAGGTAAAGTTTTTTTCTGGTGATATAAGAAATAGATTTTATATGGCTTGAACATTTGCAAGAAAGGATGCTGCCTGTTTTGCTACGCAAAACAAAGCAAAATTTAGAGCTCCTGTCACCATAACTGTCATGACATCGTCACAAGTAGCCATGGATGGAGCACAAGATCATGAAAACCATCCCACTGGATAGAACTCCCCTGTATCTATCATTGTCGAGACCTGTCAATAAAGAGGCGTTTGGTCGTGTATTGAGTTGTCAAACTTAAAAGGGACACTATAACTAAACATTTTTTATGAAACATTTAAAAGGATGCTTTTTGGATCAGTATTTTAAAGCATTTCATATTTGTTGCAAAAAATTTTCGAGTTTTACTCTTAGAAATAAAAATCGGCTGAACATATGTAGTATCGAATAATAAGTAGGAAATTGGGACTCTAGTGTGTTGAAACTCATGCAGACTGAAGAAGAATTTACTTAACTAACCTTTTAAATGTTTTATTTCATGCAGCAAATATAAAATTTTACGTTGTCCCAAAAGAAGCTGACTTATCGTTAGTATGCAGCTTGTCGGTCCTTGGGCAACCAACAGATTGTCCAAAGTAGGTCCACATGTCTCACTGCAGATGTAGTCCTTCTTATACGGCCTCAATAAATTTAGGACTGGACTGGTGAACACTTGATAACGTGTCCGCCCTGATTCAAATCACCTCAAATGCCCTGCCTGGAGCAGCATCTGGAGGGTTGTTCTTAAATATTAACGGAGCTTGGGGTGGGAGCCATATATGTGATAACCTAGAGTTCGGTCACATAGTCTAAAGTACTAAAGTGGGTAGATGAAAAAGATTTACTGGTTGCACATATTTGCAAACCATAGTAATGAGGTGAAACATTTCGCCAATCAAAATGTGATTTTAAATTAGAAGTCGGCACTCATCAAAGTAGACTTAGTTTTAGATAAAATTTGAGAAATTGATGCAAGACATGCAATTCAATAGACCAGCAACTTCTCCCATCTTTTACATCCACAAATATAGCATTGATGTTTTCGCCGACTTTGCATCAGCTCCTTGCCAAGCCTTGAGAAGTTTTTGGGAGTCAATATCCATCAACATAAAGTGGTTATTACGTTTGACATTAAAAACCTCTTTTATTGAAGGGATCATGTGTTTCACCTACACTCTGCTCCCTTTCATACTCTCCAAAAGGATGGACTGCTGAGGATTCCACAATCATGTCAATTTCCACATTTGGATCCTTACATAGCTATAGTTGGAAGGACGTTAAGAATGCTACTATTAGACTATCTACAAGACTCAGCGTTAGATTTATGTTTACTTCAGATCTGAGTTCCATTAAAATGCCGTCAACCGCTACAAAATTTGTGGCAAAGCATTCTCTGCCAGGATAACGTAGATTGGACACAACGAGTCTCTCCCCCTACCTCGGTGTCACAACTAAGCAAACTGCATTCTGTGCCACCTGTCTGCACCAAGTTAATTTAAAAACAATAAAGTGGATGTGTGTAAGATGTCCTCTCCTTGAGATTGACTGCCTTTTATAACTCTGTTGTGATAGTTAAATTATTTACAGATACAAAACCATATAAGAACAATAAAACACCTGAGATATGAGCTTAGTTTTCCTTAGAGGCTTTGACGACTAAAGTGGTAAATAAAAATGAATTTTATTAATTTATGCAGCCTTTTTGAAGATTACTGACTTTACACGAGCATTTACTTTCTAAGTGCCTGCGCTCTTCTTCAAATTTTATGGCAATAGTAATTCCCTGTGGATTGCGGTGTTGAAGGGCTAACAACAAGCATATTGATGGTTAAAATAGCCGCTCTTGAAGTTTGTCATTATGGAAGTTATGCTTAACTATAAATAAAGACTATCGTAAACGTCTAGAGTCCGTATGAAGGAGTTATTATCTGAAATAGGTGGAGGTTTTGCCCATTGATGCTTCCCTTTGTGCATGAAACCGACTTACACACCCCTAAGCTAATGACAATACCCAGTTTTGTTCAACAAATAATTCTCTTCTTATGTAACAGAATGTGATTTATTTTAAGCATACTGTTAGCTTTGTGGACCCAGTAGTCTCGGTGATTTCGATGGCCACCGCAATGGCATAACTGTAGCGCCCCGCGACTTCTCTTTAGATAAAAGAAGACACAACACTAGGGTGGAATTACCTATTGCTGGCCTAGAGAAGGGCTTTGAGTGCTGCTGGAATAGCTCGGGTCCAGGACTCCGGGTGGAATTACAACGGCGGTGCTCTCAGTGGCTTGTCGCCTAAACTGAGTGATAAAAACAACAAGTCCAATACAATGATGTTCTGTTTAAAGTGACATGTCAGTTCTGTCAACACGCCATGGTACTTCAAATGCACCACTCTAATGCTCTTCCAATGGAGGGCACAAATCTTGTACAGTTGGGTGCAACACTGAAAATGTTCAAGTTCCGTACTTACACTTACTTCAAAAGAGCATTTTTATTTGTATGGAAGGGTATGATTAGATGCAAATAAACAATCAACCAGTATCAAATTAGCTTCATACATAAGGTCACGTTTTAAATGTTCCACTTTCTCATTCCTTTCAGATGTTATCCAGGTTTGGCTTTTGAAATGCAGACATCCTTAAACCTTATACATCAGGTTTAGCCTAGACTTGGTAAATATGGTGGAGAAGGCACAATGCAGACTCTAAGAGACCAACGCTGACCCATGCCTTGTTATGTAAATGAATAACCGCATTTTACAAGTTACAAGGAGTCGGCGTGGTGATCCCCACCTAAAGCCAAACGAACACCCTTGGTCACTGGACTTGCATACTCTTGTCGCCTGTTTGGAAATTCGTTGCCAGTTTGAAGCAACTTGTACTTTCTTCATTACGTGATGCCAATTTTATTTCCCAATGGAAGAAAATTTTGCATTTAAGTAGAGGTCATCCAAGTGTTGCTTAAACCTCAAAGATGCAAAATGAACTTGGGTATTCAGGAATTGGAGAGGTACCTGCGGCTGAAAACTTGCATCAACCCTTAGCCCTTAAAGAAAACTTACAACGAAAATGTATTTGGTACCATTTAAGGTGAGAGCATGAATGACGGAAAACACATTTCGTCATCATAAAAGGACAAAGTAATTTTGGATTATTATCAGGTAAAAATGAGGCTCTTGGACTAAAGGCAAATTCAGTCACTTATAGAAGGTAGAATATGTTAAGGGATGCAAAAGAATACTATTAAAAATTTGTTCCTTGAAGGTTATTCTCAAAATACAAACAAAATCGGATCATGTAATCAAGACTTTCTCTAATTATTTGCTTCTTTGGGAATTTTTATTTATGCATTGTACTACAGTGCCTGGAAAATTCCCTTCTGACGAAAGAAAACATAATACTAGGGCAGGACATCTACTGGCGACATACAGAAGGGTTGAAAGGCTCTTGGCATGGCCCGGAGACTATGCCGCCTGGAGGAAGGACAAAGGCCGAGCCTTAAAGGCCCAGTTGTCAAAACTGAGAGGAAACAAACAAGGTATTACACAGACCCACTCTCCTCTATTAAACATCACTCCCAACTCTCCCTCCTGGGCCATTACAACGTAGCCGGTGCTGCAGGAAAAACATCCACCAACCAGCCATGCAGCCTTCTAATTTCCATGTAATTGCGAAGATATGTGACCGCAATGTCACTAACCTCCCTTGATAACTGCACTGGATCTACGGTTTCGCCCTGTTCGGGAACTGTATTGGTGGAAGGGAGGATATTCTGGCCGACTCGTGTGTCCATCGCTAGTCGTAGGAATACTCGTTCAAAGGCATCTTTAAAGGTAAAGGTTTAACACAGTACAAAGGAATTAGAATTTTGCGTCTACAAAGCCTTGTCACTTGGCTTCACTTCAGTGCTGCCCAGCCATGTCAGTCTGGGTTCAATCAAGGTAGGGGAGAGGTAGAAGAGGTATCCTGTTCACGTAACTGACATCTTTGCGCTGGTAACGTAGACAGAATACGAGACTTGGGTAGTTGCTGAAGGTTGACGTCTTAAAGGTTTAGCATTCAGTAACAGAAGTTAAAGCAGCTGTCCTTTAAGATCAGGTTTGCCTTCCGTTGTCACAGATAAAGTGCCTTGAAACTGCCCCGAAGACCCTAGAAGGCATAATGCTGGGACAGCGTAGAGTTTGGCTTGGGCTACTGACATAGTTCGAAGGCCAAGCCGCCCAGCGGACGGGCTCCACAACCAAAATCGAGAGTTAAACAAGCAGTCAAAGTGGATTAATTTGTCTTTAAAAAGCCAAAAAGGATTCTTAAAAACGTATTTAGCAATGAGTCACCCTGCTGTTTGATTCGTTAAAATTCATTGGCGTTGTTTTAGTTTTCATTAAGTGATAGTAGCTTTACTGTGGCATCTGATTTAGCCCCTCCATAAGCATAAATTAGTGAGGCACTACTGAGCACCCATAAAACTAAAATAACCTGGAGCTGCGGGAACCGGAACACTTAGCATTAATGTCACCTGCTTGCTAACTGGCTTGATAGCCACCAATCATAGCGAGATATTCACCCACTCCTTGTCAAGAAGGGTTAAGGCTTTGGAACACTCGAAGCAATGCAAGAATAACAGAGCTTGGTTGACTGAAGTTTTTACTTACAGAATTGTCCAGTTGTAAAATAATAATAGATTATTGCTGCACAATTCCAAGTAGTATCTAAAATACGAAAAGAGACTACCTTTGGAAGAAAATGAGATAAAAATTCCCGTCTGCTAATACAGTTATTGTCAGTAAAGTCAATTTGCTTTACAAGATTGAATTAGTTTCACACAACCACACGAATGTTTTCAGTGTTCTGTTAGTAGTTCAATGGAAATCCAACTTAAATTCAACTATTTAGCTCCTAGGCATATTATTAAGGATCTTTTTACCTTTCGCATGCCTACATGGGTCATTTTACTCACCCACGATTCTACCTATATGGCGATGGCGTAAAAATCTTTCTACAGCTGCCCACGGCCCCTGAGGATAAAAGGAGGAACAATACTCCGGCAGAAAATATGCATTGTCGATCTACAGAGGAGCGGCAGGCTACTGACATGATCCGGAGGCCAGACTGTTCGGCAAGGGTTCAATGGCGGAGGCCTCAGTGGTCCTTTATCAAAGCTTAGATTTGAATAAACAAGTAGCACACTCCGCTATTTACACTTGAATCCGAACAAAAGTACTTCCAGTTTCGTAGGCTTTGTAAGCGTTTCGGTGGAAAAGTTTTGTGAATTTCGAAAATAGGTGTCTGAATTGATAAGATTTAAGTAGTCGCTGTCCAACATTTACCTTTCTAAGTCATTGTAGAGAACAGGTGATTATTCGTCACTTTTATTAACGCTACTTAAGGCATTTGTCGACATGTCATACTTTTTCTAGTGAAAAGTATGCGAAAGTGCTTTCTGCCTGTCAGAATGATTGTTAGCCTGTCGCAACTTAATGAGACATGCTTAAGTCATTGACTTAATTTAAGGCCGTTAAAGTATCCCTACTTGTAAGGACTTAAACGTGCTTTAACATTTGGGAAGGTTATGTAAAATTAACTCAGAATTTGGACTCTTTAGAGGAAGTTTAGACTATAAGGCGATATTTACCTTACGGACTATGGAAAGGGACGTACAAATTTTGCATGGAGATGGGAATACAACTCGCCAAAATCCTGTGAAAATCAGTTACAATACCTTGTAGGGGTTACACAATTAGGCAACAGACAATAGTGGGTCGAAATTAGTATTACAGTCCAAGAATTCCAAACCGGGAGGGCTGCATACTGGATAGGGGTAGTCGAAGTAACTCTTCTGGATCGTGCAGAAGTGGTACTAAGCCCCGTACGGTCTCCTATAAGCAAATTTTCCAGACGTAGGTCCCCTTAGCAGCTTAGAGATACTGAAAGGAATAGTCAAAATAACATGACATGTCCATCACTGTTTGGGGCCATAAGAACTTCTACAGACGAGGATAAGTCTGATTACACCCCACGGTGGTGCTGTCTAAAGACTACCGCAGGTTTTTAGTCCAAGGCTCCGGGTTTACCGGGAATAGGGTATCACCTTCACAACGTCTATGCATTGCAGCC